CCCCCTCCTCCCCCTCCTCCCTCTGAGGCTCGCTGTGCGCCCTACCCTCTTTCACCCTGACACAAAACAGTTGTGGACACCTCAAGGGGATCGCTTGTGCATTGCACACCTAGGCTTTGCCGTTGGAGAACCTAACAACAAATAGATTTGTATAATCAGGTGTTCCTAAACTCAGTATCCAAACTCACTCTCCACATTGTCTGTCTGGTTTGGTTTTGAGACAGGGCCTCGCTGTGTGGGCCAGGCTGGCCTGTGACTCATAGTGATCCTCCTGCCTTAGCCTCCCAAGTCCTGGGATAACTGGCAGGCGTGTGCCTTTCTAGACCCTTTCCGTGTCCTTGCTGGCTTAAAAACCCCTTCCCTAAAGACTAAGTAAGCTGCTTGCTATCATTCCACACCCCCCCGCCCTCTGTGACCGCCAGCTTCCTGAGGGGAGCGCCTGTGGGCTCTGGGGACACCACGGCCAGCTGGGGATCTTGCTGGCTCCCAGAGGTGCTGGGCCTGGTTCACCGCAGGACAAGTGACAGCTTGCAGATGGCGCTTTTGGGGTGCAGCGTCCCAGGGCGGGCATCGAGTTAAGGTCCTGGGTCACAGGTGCCAGGTTCCCTGAGGCCAGTAGTCCAGGCTGCCTTGTCACTCTCCCCTCGAGACGCGGAACCGGCCCGTGCGGGGAAGAACATCCTGGCCCAGCCCAGAGGGTCTGGAGGGGCTGCTCCCGAAGTCCCACCCTTGCGGTGACACTGGTGGACTTCCTGGTCAGCGCCCGGCAGGTGGGAGGTGATGCGGAAAGGGTGCGGCGCCACCTCGTACCCTAGAGCTGGACCAGAGCACAGGAACTCCGGCCTCTTCTCTGGCTGGCTCTGCGTGGTTATTATTTCCTTCCGGCCTCACTTACAGCCCAGCGGTGGGTCCCCCGAGCCGGCACCGGCACTGGTAGAGGGGCCAGCAGTTCGGCTCCGTGTGGGAAAGCTGGTTTCTGCGAGGGTAATTTCATCGTCGTTTAGTCTAAGAGCCGTGTATGTTGCTACCAAGCAGTTATTTGTGTTTTTAAAACCTGAGCTGGGCTTCCCAGGGCTTCCTTTGTCCCAGACTGGTCACTGCAGCACCAGCACAGAGCCCGTGCTCGCATGCAGTTGGGGCCAGCTAGGCCTTTAAACGGATGTGCGTGTGTGCTTCTGCTGACGGTGGCCTTTGGTTTAAATCACATCCGTAGGAGTTAAGTCGGCAGATCGAAAAGAGGAAGCAAATGGCTGAGCTGGAGAAGAGGAAAGTGATCTCCCAGGAGAAGCACCGCGCGTGGGTGCGGAGGAAGAAGGAGCAGGTGAGTCCCGGTTTCTCTCGCTGCTCCAGGGACCGATCGAGGCCCTGTCACTGCTGTCCCACCTGCTCCACTCCGGTCCCCTCTCCCTGGGGCCCCTCAGCGCCTCACTGCCCTGCTGCTGCCCCTCCCGTGTGGGCCCCGCGGGGGCGGGGAGAGCCCCTCCGTGTGCACCGGCCCGGTCAGTCCTCTTTCTGCCGGGCCCTCACCCAGCCGCCGCGACCCCTCTGCCCTCTGTGTTGTCCCTCGCAGGTGTCGGTGACCAGCGCCCACCTGGCCTTACTGAAAAATTCAAGAGGAGAAAAATGTGTATTTTTATTTGAAAAATAAGCACAGACTTGGAGCAGAATGTATATTTTGGGTGCTGCCGAGAATCCAGCCGAGGGCCTTCCATGTACTGGGCAAGTCCTCTGCCCCGCACAGTACCCAGCCCTGAATTTCCTGTCATTTTTAGGATGGAAATAGTTTTGGGACAGTCTCAACCTCGATCTGTGCTCCCTGCCCCAGGAGACAGGTGCTCCTGAGACTGAGAATGCTCCCATGTCTGTCTGTCTGTCTGTCTCTTTCTCCGTGCTACTGGGGATTAAATCCAGAGCCTTCACACTAAACTATATCCCCGGTACTTGTTTTAATTTTTTATTCTGAGACAGAGCCTCATTAAATCATTAAGTGGCCTAGGCTGGGCTCTAACTTGCAATCTTCCTGCCTCAGCCTCCCAGAGCACTGGGAGTGGTGTTTGTTCAGATGCAGTCTCATCGTGTGGTGCACTTTCCTTTGGCTTCGTTCGTCCGTTCCGATTGCTCTGCATGTTGGAGACTCTGCCTGGGAGTCTGTGTGCAGCCTGTGCCACTGTCGGCACTTTGTCGTACACGTTCTCTTCCTGTGGATAAACAATCCCCAGCTGTTTGACCCTGTGTACTAGCCTTCCCTTTTCTTGTCATTTTAAGATCCTCACAAACATATTTTTGTACTTCTTATACAGCCTTCCTGTCCTGGGTATTGAAAGAGGGAGATTGGTTGGGGTGTGTTCGAACCGTGAAAGTATGTGTCAGTACTTTAGAGACCAGCTGAGGGTGTCGTTTGATTGTTTGCTTTACCTCAGTATGACACAAGTTGTTTGTGAATAAATACGGAGAGCGAAAGAAGCCTGTATGACCATTACCAAACTTTGGGGGATAACTTTGGTGTGTGTGTGTGCGTGTGTGCGTGTGTGTGTGTGTGTGTGTGCGTGCGCACACGCATGTGGTTCTGAGGACTGGAACCAGGGCTTTCACACTGAGTGCCATCCCAGCCCTTGCTTAAAATTTTTAAATTTTGAAACAGGTCTTTCTAAAGTCAGTCTCTAAGTCGCCCAGGTAGGACGCAGGTTTGCAGTCCTCCTGCCTCAGCCTCCCAGAGTGCTGAGCTCACAGGCGTGCATTGCCTGGCCTGGGTCTGGTGCTGTGCTTTGGAAGCTGATGGTTGCTTGTGTGCGGAGCAGGTAGGCTTGGGCGGGGACCACGATGCGGTCCCATCTGCTCAGTGGCAGTAGTAGATCTGTCCAGGTGCTGAGGAGGAGTGTGGCCTTTGGGAGCCGCTCTCCCGCTGACTCCTTGGTGATTCGGGAGGCTAAGCTGGACGGAAACGACTTGAACACTGGTTTTGCTCTTCCGGAGTGGTGGGGAGAGGCCGGGGCTGTGGTTTTCCTCCCACACAGCCATCCCTGGTCTGTGGCCGAGGCCCTGCTTGCACCTCCTGCCTGGCACCTGCCCACCTCAGCACTGTGCCTTTCCCACGACCCAGCGGGAGAGCTGCTGGAAGGGTTCACACCTGCCGCGTCCCATGGCCACTCTGCTTGGGTCACAAGCTGATTTATTTGCTAGATTTTTTTAAACAGCATTAATACGTATTGTTTTGCAAATAAGCTTTCGCTTTCAATGTTTCTGTATGATTTACAATGAAGCCATTTTCAGTTCTCACAGCACCCGGCAGGCGTGGGGCCTGGAGCCAGGGTCCCCTCCCTGGGGGTCAGAAGCTGGGGTGCTGTGCTGTGTGGCCAGGGTCCCAAATGGTGTCCCAGCCTCAGGCCGTGCCTCCCGCTGGCCTCCTGTGTGCACCGAGGGCAGCTTCTCCCTCCTCCTGTGTAGTCACTGGCCCGCACCAGGCCCTGCCTCCCGGCCCTGGGGCCAGCGGCGTCCCCCAGAGCTGTGGGCGGCTCCCGGCAGGGGTCATACAGGGCGTTGGGGTCCCCTGTGCGGCTCACCTTTGCCGGTTCCTGACCTGCGCACCAGGCGAGGGCGTGGGGCTCTTTGAGGCTGGGCCGTTCCTCGGGCGCCATTCGTTCTGTGGGTGACCCTTCCCAGGAAGTGCCAGCCCGGGGAAACGCTGGTGCCTTCTGCATCCGGCCAGGGACAGTGCTGAGTCCCCTGCGGCGGTGACTGCCGCGCTCCTCCTGGCCCCTCTCAGATGCTGCCAGTGTCGCCAGTGTCTCCTCATCCTCCCGTGCCCCTCACGGACCTGACCCCGAGCTTCTGAGGGCAGCACAGGATCTGGACTCAGCGCAGGGACCGGCGGGGCCTGGGCACCCTCGTTATCTGGGCCCCTGCGTGTGTCGCGGTCTGGGCCGTGACAGCCGCTTCCTGGCCTTGTTCCTGATGCTTTCACGTTGTTTCCATGCCTGGCCTTCAGGTCAGAATAATAGTGGTTCTTAAAATGAGCTTGACTGTGTCCCCTTTTTCTCTGTTTTCTAAACGAATCGATGTAGTTATTTGGGACCATTTCTTCCTTCCGTGTGTGATGGGGTCTATCAGAAACCACTCGAGGCTGCAGGTTCTGTGAGAAAGTTTTTACTTTTGAATTGTTTTTATAAGTAGATGACTATCCTGATACTTTCTTCTTGAATTAGTTTTGGGAAGGGGTATATCTTAAGGAGTTTTGGCATTTTACTTAAGTTGCTTATGTTTTTTGGCCAAACTTCTTTTCGCTATTTTCTCCTCTCATTTTCTGCATGATCCATAGCCCTTCAGGAGTGTGTGCTGTGACCTCAGGCAGGTTGCCTGTCTCTGCTGTCTCCATCTGGTTCAAAGCAGGGTAATCAGAGAACCCTTCTCACCAGGCCTGGTGGCACCCATGTATAAGCCCAGTACTTGGGAGGCTGAGACAGGAGGGTCTCTGTGAGCTCCAGACCAGCTGGGGGTACTTAGTGAGGCCCTGTGTCAGAAAACAAATGTTAAAGAGTGGCAGTGCTTTCCTCGTGTGGTCCTTGGTGCGGTGCTGCCCGCCATGGACCCAGTGTGTGGAGCGGGCTACCAACCTGGGTTGACTGACGTGCCCAGGTGCTGCCACAGGAGGACTGAGCCCCAGGACACCCTGCCCGCAGCGGGCACAGCATGCCCGGACGCTCCAGGCTGAGTCAGGACGCCCCCTCTTCACCCCGCCCATCGCCTGCTCTGCCGTCCAGAGGGGGCACCCTGCGACCGCTTGCCGGGGCCACCTGGGGCACGAGGAGCACCTGGCCTCCCATCAAGGGGCGCCTATACTCTGGAGCAGAGTGGGGACCCTGGTGTCCCTGACAGACAGGGCAGGGGCCTGGGCCTGGGGCTGCGCCTGCCTACAGGTGGCCTGGGCACCCCTGAGTGGGCCCCTGCCCCGTGTGCACACGGCGCTACCCCTGAAAGAGGGTGAGTCACCTTTGAAAGCCAGACCCGGTCATCACGCTGTGACTGTGACCGCCAGTTCGGCGGCCAGCCCTTCCTGAGCTCCTGCCGTGGCTGGCACCTCCCGGCCTGTCTCCAGCTGGCGGCCGACGGAGCCCGGGGGCCGGGGTCGTGTCCCACAGGCTTCCCTTTCTTGAGGGAATCACAGGTATTTCAACTAAAATGCCTCCGTTTTCATTTAAGAAAAGGAAAGAAACAGAAGAAAAAATCAGTAAAGAAATGGAGGAAAGAGCAGCAAAGGAGCTAGAGAAACAACATTTGCAAGAAAAAGCAAAAGAAAAGTATGAAGAATGGTTACAGAGAAAACATGCCGAAGACCGGGAGAAGCAGCAGAGAGCCAAGGTACTGTCCCGCTGCGGCGGGTGGGACGGGGCTTTGGCGGCGGATCCAACAGCTGTGTTCTAGACGAGAGGCGCGACCCCGAAGCTGGCTCTGTGTCAGCCCAAGATAAGAGAGGAAGCTGTTACGCCAGGTTAAAGCTTCAGAACGAATAAGGGTTTGTGGTTTCCTTAGACAGAAATGTGAATGGACTCATTGATATTTTTAAGTTAGCGTCAACGTCTTTGTTAATTGCTTTTGTTTTGGGGTGCACTTTGGAGCGGCCCGTGGAGGTCCCTTAGTGTCCTTGTAAGTCATCCCGTGCATGGCAGCGCGCCCCTTCCTCTTTGGGTCCCTGTCCCTGTGTGCGGGGGGCATTGCACCGCAGAACGGATCTCAGTCAGGGTGGGGAGCAGCGGGCCGTCGGGGGTGGGAGCCGGATGGTCCTGGCTGAGCGACCCAGACATTCCCCGGCCCTGTCATTTTAAGGAAGAAGAAAAGCAGCGGCAAGCCGAATTACTGGAGAAAAAGGAGATAGCTGAAAGGAAGTTTAAGGAATGGTTGGAAAATGCAAAAAACAAGCCCCGCCCCGCCGCAAAGAGCTACGGCTTTGCCAACGGGAGGCTCACAGGTGGGTGTGCGCTCGGAAGTGGGGTGTGCAGGGGTGGGCCGTGTGCAGTTTGCTTCCCTTTGACGGACGCGCAACAGGGAGGAGTTGTTTCTCCTTCACATGGCTCTCTCTGTTCTGGACGAGTACAGCCAGCGTGTTGCTGAGGCACCATGCGCGTGTCATCTCCCGCAGGTCGGACGGGCGGAGCCGGGCCACCCCGTGTGACCACTGTCTCGGGACAGCCCGGCGGGGCCTGTGGCTGCATTGCCCGCTCTCGCTGACCCTCCGCCCCTGGCCGCGAGGTTAGCTCTGCCGCGGAGGGGACTCTCCTCACCGACACTCCTGTCGTCCTCACGGGTTAGGGACAGCTGTGTGTCCCGGTGACCGGACTT